AGATGACTTCTCTTATGCAAATAAGCTTGGACGAGGTGGATTTGGAGCTGTTTACAAGGTAACAAAACAATCACTTTCACAAGAAAAAAAAAATTAATCTAAGCATGGTTTCCTTATTTTTCTGTTTTAAACATTCAGGGTAGACTATTAAATGGGCAACCTATAGCCGTGAAAAGGCTCTCCAAAAATTCTGGACAAGGTAATCGTGAATTTAAGAATGAGGTCATGTTACTTGCTCAGCTTCAACACCGGAATTTAGTAAGGCTCCTGGGATTTTGCTTGAAAACTGACGAAAGGCTTCTCATTTACGAATACGTGCCTAACAAAAGTCTTGATCACTTCATTTTTGGTATATTTTCTCTGCCTCATATTCCATAAAATTTATAGTAATTTCTTAAAGATTAAAAAAGTTCATATTTCATTTAATGAAATTGTATTTAGACCCAAACAATCACGAGCATTTGGATTGGGAAACACGTTACAAGATCATAGGAGGCATTGCTCGAGGGATTCTTTACCTCCATGAAGATTCTCGGGTTCGAATTATTCATTGCGATCTCAAAGCCAGCAATATTTTGTTAGATGAAGATATGAACCCCAAAATTGCTGATTTTGGAATGGCAAGACTGTTTGATCAAACTCAAGGAGATACAAGTACAGTTAGGGGAACCTAGTAAGTACTGTGATAATATAGCAAGCTAACTTACACTTTCATTTTGTGCTCTTCTTGCAACAAAATTCAAAAAGCTTCATCGAAAAAAGAAGAAAAACTTACATGTCTAATAAATGGAATATAATCATGCAGTGGATATATGGCTCCCGAGCATGTAATTCATGGTTGCTTTTCTGTCAAAACGGATATCTTCAGTTTTGGGGTGTTAGTTCTTGAAATTGTAAGCGGTAAAAAGATTGGTAGTTTCCAATATGGCGAGAATGAAGAGGACCTATTAACCTATGTGAGTATGAAAACATTAAAGTCATTATATATTCTCTCTTTTGCCTTGGTAAAATTTCTTTTTGACTATATTGATCTACTACTTTATAGGCCTGGAGAAATTGGAGGGAGGATACAATTGAAAACATCATAGATCCTGTGTTGACAGCAAGTTCACGAATGGAAACGATGAGATGCATCCACATTGGTTTATTGTGTGTGCAAGAAAATGTGGTGGACAGGCCAACCGTGGTTTCAGTTGTGTCCATGCTTAACAGCCAGTCTCTCGCACTTTCAGTACCGTCACAACCTGCATTCTATATTCATCACAAGACTGGATCAGACATATCGACATTGACCGAGTCAGACCAATCCAAAAGCCTCTCTGTCTATGTCTCAGAAAATGAGCCTTCAATTATTACTGAACCATATCCTCGGTAATGGTCGAGTACCAACCATTCTGTAACAAATTTAGGCTTCAAATGTTGTTTTATTTACTATGTTAGCACTAAAGTTTAGTTGGTGTCTTCTTGCTTCAAGTTGATATATTTATTGCAATAAAATGGCTGCTTAAGTAGCATGTTCATCTCCATGAACTTCTCTGTTTTTGAGCGGCAACAGAAGTTACTTGATCAAAAGACCTGCAATTACAGTTCAATTTTCAGAATGTAGCATTACTCAAAGACATGCTATTTAATTTCTAGACTCAGAATTGTCCGGCCGGCTTGGAGTCAGATAATCAAAATGAAAAATGAAATTAGTTTGAAGTCGCTTGGATTAAGCTACGGTCCTCGCTTACCTTGCCCCTTGGACAAAAACCAAGAGGCACACAGAAAGCAGAGCATTTGCTTCCAATGAGAATGTATTGTTGACTTTTTCATCTGCTCGTACTTTCCATTTAGGCTGGTATATCATATTATATTTATTTCAAGATTAATTAAGATCTTGGAATTCACAGATCACTGTGTTACAATATTGCATTTTGAGTTCTAATTTACAATTTCCTTGACCAGATGTAAATGTAAGCATACATATTTTCAGGGCAGGCTTGCCAATGGGCCGCAAGAAATAGCTGTGAAAAGGTTATCTAGAGATTCTGCACAAGGAGATCAAGAATTTAAGAATAAGGTGTTATTAGGCTAAGCTTCAACACCGAAATTTATTAGTTAGGCTTCTAGGTTTCTGTTTAGAAGGAAATGAAAGGCTTCTTGAATGCAAGTCTTGATCAGTTCATTTTTGGTACGGTTTTTGTTCTCTCCTGCTGTCTGCATAATGTATTATAACAATCAACTTTTTTGAGTTAATTGTTGTGAAAGATTGCACATCAACTAATTATTAGTTTTCAGTATATGGATCCCATTAAGCGCTCACTTCTAGATTGGGAAAGACGGTACAAAATCATAAGAGGCATTGCTAGGGGACTTCTTTATCTTCACGAAGATTCTCGGTTTCGAATTATTCACCGTGATATGAAAGCTAGCAACATTTTGATTGATGATGAGATGAATCCAAAAATTTCAGATTTTGGAATGGCAAGGTTGACCAAACTCAAGGTGATACAAGTAGAATCGTTGGGACTTAGTAAGTAACACAACATTCTAGACAGCCCTATTTTAGTTTTGTCATAGTTCATTTTGTTTTTGACTCGTTCCCTTGTTTCATGTACTTGTGTCAATTCTTCAGTTAAATCAGATGTGTTTAGCTTTAGAGTGCTGGTTCTGGAGTTTTGAAAAAATAACGCTCATTTGTGTTCTACACAATTCTAGAGAAGTCAAGACTTCAAAAGATGGAGATGGCAATGCAAGAATATTCTAGAACAAGTTAGCAGTGGCTGAATGCTCAAGGCGGTGGAACAAAAGCAATTGAAGTTTGAAGAACATTCTAGTACAAGACACACATGTGGCTAAGAAATTTAGAAGCCCAAGTCGGTGGCTGTGTATGTCGGCAATCAAAGCCTATAATTAGGCATGGTTGTACTCATATAAGGTGTGGAGTCTAACAAAAAGAACTCCCAAACTAAGACAGCCAAGAGCTCAAGCTAGGGCCAAATAGCCTAAACTATTCTAAATCAAGTGTGGTAGCCAATAAGCCAATAAGCTAAGAAGGTCAATTAGCCTACACCAAGTCATGTACTATTCTCCTCCAATATAATAAAATTACTTTGTTTCAACTATTGTCCTATTGTCCTAAACCCCTTCACCACATAAACCAACAACAATATCAAAGCAACACACACAGCACACCACCTAAAATTCCAACATGGAGATATGCAGTGGTCATAAAAATAATAGCTTTCACATTAACGGGAATGCAGAGGATCTTTCTTAGCTATGTATATATAAGTTATGTATGATGAATATTATTTGCTTCTGAACTATAGGACTCGACGACTGGCTAGTATTGTTGATATAAATTAAAACATTGTTGCAGGCATGGATAAACTGGAGGGAAGAGACGGCTTTAAACCTCATAGATTCAAATTTGATGGCTACGGTTTCAAAAGCTGAAATATTGAGATGTATTCATACTGGTTACTATGTGTTCTTTTTTTTTGGTCAAGACGGTTACTATATGTTCAGGAGAATCTAGATGAGAGGACCAACCATGGCTTCAACTGTTCTCATGTTAAATAGCCACTCTCTCAATCTCCTAATACCCTCAGCACCAGCATTCTTCGCCCACAGCAGCATGGACAAGTACAATTCAGGGTTAAAACAATCGAGTGGATCTAGATCTGCTGAAATATCAGAAAATGAGGCTTCAATTACTGAGCTTTACGCTCGCTAGCTAATATGTTATGATCACTTACAACTGAGTTATTAATTGTCGATAATGTGTCATAATAGAATGTACAGATATGTTATCGATACATTGTGAATAATATCCATACAAAATTCGTCCACCACCAATACATTGTGAATAATACCCTTACAAAATCCGTCCACCGATACATTGTGGATAATATCTATAAATAAAAATTCATAAATTATAAAATTTATGTATGAACTTGGATCCTATCCCTGCCTAATGGGTCAAGGTCTTATGTATCTCCTTGTTTAGTTATTTGTCGCTGTATCAAAACTCATGATTTCGGTGATCCCCCTCCATGTTTGAAGACTCGTCTTTCGCCGATTTAGACATTTCTCGGTGAACAATTTTGTTCTCTCTGACAAATTTTCCCCGGGATAAACCTTGCTGGAGCATTTTGTTCTTTTCCACACAAAAATTGCCTAGATAGACCTTTCCCAGTGAATTTTGTAATTTTTCGACAATTAGTCGTCTAGATAGACATCTCCTGGGGAATCTTTCTCCCAACAAATTTCCGTGGGGAAAGGTTGCTCTTTCCCGGCAAAATTACAATGGGGCGAATTTTGTTCTCTCTTTTGTCCATGTAAACCTTTCCCGGCGAAAATTGTTCCTTCCGGACAAACTTTCACTTAGATAGACCTTTCTCGATGAAGATGTTCTCCCCACAAATTTTAGCCGTGTAAACCTTTCACTGCGAATTGTGTTTTTTGCTGACAAATTTTGGTCGACATAGATTTTTCCTAGCGAATTTTGTTCTTTCCCGCCAACTAATGCTTCCAGACAGAAGATAGACCTTTCCCTGCCAATTGTCTTTCCTGACAAATGTTCCCTGCGAATTATGTCTTTCCCGACAAATGTGCGCCGGGATAGACCTTTCTCAACAAATGTCTCAATCTGTATTAGTTAAAGCTAGCTCGTCAAGCACTTGAAACCCACAAATCATTTAAGTCATCCAGAGTTAGCGGCATATAATTTTATTCTTCATGAACATATTTCTGACCAAGGGAGGAGCCATGACTTTCCCAAAATCCCTTGACGTTTTTCAAACATCCCCCTAATACATAAAAATCATAGAAAGGAAAATGTTTACATCCATCCCAATAATTAATTACAGCCTAATTATTATGTTTTCTGAATTAGTCATAGAAACCATGCTGAATATGTCAACGCAAATTATTGAGAGCCTTTCAGGGATTGCCTCCTATTATCATTTAACGTCAAACTTGCAAACCTGCATGTCTTTTGCACCACTAATTCAACGAACTTTAACGATCGAGCAAAGAAAGATGTCTCACTACTTCTCCATCACTCAAAACCAACCTTAATTACTGATTATAATCCTTTTGCACCGCAAGTTTAAGAAATTTTAACGATTGGAATCGAACAAATTAAGATGTCAGTTTTACATGATCACGCCCTAACAATCGTCTCCCTTTCATTTATCGGCCTACTCAAACTGGTTTTTTGTTCCAATTCCATTCACTACATCCACCACTACTGCTCTTTAGAAGTTAACAAAACCGAAAACGCCGCTTTCCAAGACAACGTCGACCGCCTCCTCTCCGACCTCTCCTCCAAATCCTATGGCAACAGATTCTACAACTCCACATCCGGAGACAACGACAAAAAAGTTTACGGCTTATTCCTTTGTCGAGGTGACGTCTCCCCCGGAGTCTGCCGTGACTGCATTGACTCCTCCACCAAAAACCTCAAACAAAACTGCACCCGCAACAAAGAGTCAATCGTTTGGTATGAGGAATGCATGCTGAGATATTCAAACCATTCCATCTTCGCCACAGAGGAGGAGATGCCGTGGCGGTATTGGTGCAGCGTGAACAAAGTTTCCAACATGGACCAGTTTAATCAGAGTTTGTCCACCTTGATGAATGGGCTTGTGGACAAGGCCGCGTTTGGCAATACCACTCCACCGTTTTTTGTGACTGGGGACGACAAGAAAGGCGGTGGCCGCATTTCGATATATTGTTTGATGCAATGCACGCCGGACATAAATGGGAGTGAGTGTCAAAGGTGTTTGAAGGCGGCTGTCGGCGGTTATCAGGAGACTTGTGAGGGGAGGACATGGTCTATGATATTTTCGCCTAGCTGTCAGGTGAGGTATGGGTCTGATCCTTTCTATGGGGAAGGAAAGCCAATCAAAAGTGGCGGTGGTAAGTATTATGAATATGATGATCAAGTTAATGAAGGGATTATAAGTTTTGGCTTAATTAATATTATTGTTGAGGACATAATTAATTAATTAATTAATTGTGTGTGTGTGTGCAGGAAGAGGGAAGAACAAATCATGTGTGGCTGTTGCAGCGGTATTGTGCATGGTTCTGTCTGGCTTATTGGTTAATCTACGTGCATGATAGAAATGCTAAAGAAACATCCCCGAGGGGTAAGTCGTAAATTCAATAATTAATGCGAACATGGTCTAGGGTTTTATGCCTACGTTTTGAAAATGAGAAATGATAATGTAGCCATTTTTCTAAAACAACAGAAGATCTCATCCTCTGAACATATGAATTAAGAACAGATTGGATTATTATGGGTACGTACAAGAAGAAGCATTTAGTTAGAGCATCCATAGTGGGGGGGTGTATAGCATATTTACACCTCATTTGACCGGAATCAACTGCAATGGAAGGGTGTATCCTGCTGCAAATTTACACAGCCACCGTGAGATGGAAAAATAGATGGAAGTTTACATCTATTTTTGGAAAATACTAGGCTTACCACATTTTTCATACCACATTCATACCACCTCTCTAATAGAGGTGGGCCCCATTGTATTGGTGGGCTCCACCTCCATTAGAGAGGTGGTATGAATGTGATATGAAAAATGTGGTAAGCCTAGCATTACCCTCTATTTTTACATCCAAGAAGCGGGCTCCACGTCAAAGAAAGTAAGAGAGAGGAAAGAGAAATGCTACAATATTTCCCGACCTACTCTCTCCTCACCCGCAAGTGAACGCAACTCGCCACTTTTGTTTTTAAGAGTTGCAAGGCTGATGCCAGCACACTCAAAGTTGAGAGATTTTGTATATACAAAATGTCAAAAAATAGGACTTTTGCAAGGAAAGGCCAACAGCTTCAAATTCAATGGTGGAGATGGTTTTTCATTCAAAATGAAAGGCCACCAGTTTATACCCTATTTTGTCATAAAATCATATGTTCTCCAAATTTTAATTTTTTTAGGTCCATTTGTTTGGAAAAATAAACCTAACTTAACACACAGACAATTAATTTTAAAAAATTAAAACATAAAAAAAAATAACACAAAAATGAATTAATTCAAATAAATCGAATATACATATTTGGATTTACATCTTTCTCCACTTGAGCAAAAATTACATTTACAACCCCCAGATCTGTAAATGGGATGTAAAAGTGGCTTTACACCCCCAAAAATACACCCCCCTACTGTGGATGCTCTTATAAACCCAGATGTAATGCAACCAAATTGAAATTCTCCTCATGCATGCTCATGAAGTTGGTGAGTTACTCTTCGTTTTCCCATCCAGTCTCCACACCTGCATCTTCCAACAAAATATCTGTGAGTGCATACAAGTTGTGTGCGTAACCTTCCAGGCAATAGACAATTGAATTTGAGAATCGCGCAAGTGGATTGGACGAATCCACACCATTAAGTCAAATACTTTAGTTTGGTTTTAATTTAGAAACAGAGCAGCTTTCTTATTTATATTAATCTATATATCGTAAATTATATAAAATGGATGTGTTGAATTGAATGAACCAGTTATTCTTTATTCTTCTTTTCTTTTTTTCCTTAAATTTGTAGCACCAAGTAATTACTGATGTAATTGTTTGATTACTTGATTGGTAAGTAATTGTTAGCGAGATATCCCTATTCTATTAGGATATTATTTTATTTATTTCCTTTTGTATAGATATTATGTAATTAGGATACCACTTCTTTTCCTAGTTTAACCCTACTAGGGTTTACAACCTTGTATTATAAATACCTCTTTTCAGATAATGAAATATATCAGAAAATATTCTACCATATTATTTGACTTGGCATCAGAGTCGACTTTTTGGTGACCTGTGTGTGTTGTGCCCACCCGTGTTCTACTATGTGCCCTAATTTCTTTTAGGGTTCTTGTGCCTATGTCTTTGCTGTGTTCCGCTGTGTACCCTGTCGTGTTCGTGCCTCTACTGTGTACGTGCCTGTGCCTTTGTTGTGTTCCGCTGTGTACTGATCGGTTCATAATTGTATATCATTTTGTACCCTTCTAGCTTATGATTTGGTTATGTTTTTGAGTTAAACTTGTGCTTTTAATCCTTTTTGTGTTTATCTTTCAGTTCATTGAGCTTTAGGTAATAATGATGGCTTTGGATAGTAAATGATGCAATCCATGCATGTTAGGGCCTAATTTGGATGAATGGATGAAGAGCTTAAAGACAAACTCAATTTTGGCTACAGTCCCCTGCCAGCCCAGTTTCGTAGGTCATATTGCAAGCTTTGTTTCAGCAACCTAAATAGCTCGGATGAGGCCACATTCTTCATGAAAGTTGTTCCAATGGGTGTGTACTATAACATATCCAAAATTCAGCCCCATTGGATAAATATGGAGTCTGTTACCTAGCAAACACAAAGCCATGCTCAGGATGGATTTTATCAGCGCGCAAAATGAGTTAGCAATTTGTTTTGGCCTTAACTTCGATTGGCCCAAATGATATATGGCTGGAAAGAAAACATTCTGAACTTCAAGTTTGAGTGCTTAAAGTCCTAATTTGATTAAGAGAAGCCCAAGTTGTAAGCCCTTGAAGTTGCTGGTCATGCTGACCTCAGCATGTGCTGGTTGGATGCTTGGTCATGGTGAGCTAGGTATGAGCTATCATTTCTGGTTGGAAGCTTGGTCATGATGACATGAAGATGAGCTAGGGATGCTGGTGGGATTTATTGGTGAAGTGCATCAACCAATTCAAATTTTATAATGCAAGTGTTGTATGCATTAGTGAAGGGCATCAACCATTTCAGATTTTATAAAACAAGTGGTGTATGCATTAGCCATATTGAATTCATATTTTTCACTTCCTTAGGCCTATAAATAGGGAGGTTCTCTAAGCTTGTTGAAGTGCATTAACCAATTCAGATTTTATAATGCAAGTGTTGTATGCATTAGTGAAGTGCATCAACCATTTCAGATTTTATAAAACAAGTGTTGTATGCATTAGCCATATTGAATTCAGATTTGTCACTCCCCTCTCCCTATAAATACCACATCCATTCCACATTCAAAAAAACAACAAATCCTGAGATTCACAACCCCCACAATTCACTCCAACCATCCTCAAACACTCTCAAAATCCCAAACACTCCAACAATCACCAAAACAACTCCAGCAAACCCCTCTTCCATTTCCCTACGAATTTCATCTTCCTTAGCCATCACCACTCACACAAACTCATCCCAAATCACCTCCATATCCTTCATACATCTCTCTAGAAGTGGGGAAGCTCTTGGAGAAGCATTAGAAGAGGAGAAGCACTTGGAGAAGCCTTGGACACCACAAGAACTTCAGAAAAAAGGAATCACCAATCCTCGTGGGATCGACCTCGCACTTACATACGCTATACTACTGAACGGCTCGTGCACTTGCGAGTATCACAAGTTGAGGATGCAGCTGTATCTACGCAACATGTACTCTGTCGTGTTCGTGCCTCTACTGTCTTCGTGCATCTGCCGTATTTGTGTCTGTGCTGTGTTCTGTTGTATACTCTGCGTGCTTTGTTGAGTTTCTGCTACAATCATGGGTGATAACTCCATTGTTGGTGCTGTTGCTGCTGCTTCTGCAAATTTGCGTGTTTCTGACTCTATTCCAGGTACTGGCTCCAATACTTTGATAATTGACATTGGTGCTTCTGATAATATGACTTATGATGCTAAATTTTTTGATGAGTTGTCTAGTAACACCCGTGACCCATACATAACTAGTGTTAATGGCTTGCCCTCTCCAATTACTGGCGAGGGCACAATCTCTCTCACTCCTACTTTGTCCTTGTCTCGTGCGTTACTAGTTCCCACTATCCATTGTAACTTGTTATCTGTTGGTCGATTACTTGATACACTTAATGCTTCTGCTATTTTCTATCCTACCTATTGCTCTTTTCAGGATTTCAAGACTCACGAGGTGATTGGGCATGGTAAACGGATAGGGGGGGTTATATTATTTGACATTGCCTTCTGCACCAGTTCGTGATCGTGTCGTTAATACTATTCAAAGTTGCAGTGTCAAAGACAAACAACAAATTTGGTTATGGCATTGTCGCTTGGGACACCCGTCATTTGGCTATCTTAAGCGTCTGTTTTCATCTTTATTTCGCTCCTGTGATGAGTCCAGTTTTAAGTGTGAGACATGTATTTTGGCCAAGAGCCATCACACTGTGTTTCCTTTGAGTGACAGTAAAGCTGCAAAGCCTTTTGATTTAGTGCATTCTGATGTGTGGGGTCCGGCTCGTGTTACTTCGAACGAATTTCGTTGGTTCGTCACATTTATTGATGATTGTACCCGACTTACTTGGGTTTTCTTGCTGAAAAATAAACATGATGTTGCTTCCATCCTTCCAGAGTTTTGTACTATGGTGTCTACTCAGTTTCATGCTCGGGTCAAAGTATTCCGGACTGATAATGGAGGCGAATATGTGAATAATACTTTGTCATCTTTCTTTCGTGCTCAAGGTATTATTCACCAAACGACAACCCCTTTTACCCCTCAACAAAATGGTGTGTCTGAAAGAAAGAACCGACAATTGCTTGAAGTTGCCCGCTCACTCATATTGGATATGTCTGTTCCCCATCATCTTTGGGGGCATGCTGTTTTATCTGCTGCCTATTTAATTAATCGTACTTCTAGCCGGATTCTTGATTTCAAGACTCCACATGAGTTGGATATGTCTGTTCCCCATCACCTTTGGGGGCATGCTGTTCTCATATTTGATTAATCGTACGCCTAGCCGGGTTCTTGATTTCAAGACTCCGCATGATGTGTTTGGTGACCATGTTTCCCCTGTCTCCGTCTCCAAGTTGCCACCTAAAGTTTTTGGATGTGTAGCTTATGTTCATGTATACTCTCATCAACGGAGTAAACTTGATCCTTGTGCTCTGCGATGTGTCTTTCTTGGTTATTCTTCTACTCAGAAGGGTTATAAATGCTATCATCCACCTACCCAGAAAGTGCTTGTTACTTTGGATGTCACCTTTCATGAAGAAGTTCCATATTATGTTTCTCCCTCCTCTTCAATTCAGGGGGAGAGGGGGAGTGAATTGAAGAGTTTCGGAGCTGACAATGTGGAAAAAGTTGGATTTGAAGAAAAAAAAATTGAGACACAGGAAGCGACTGGTCGCATGGAAGAAGTGACCGGTCGCCAACGAATCTGCCTGGAAGGAATTTTCGAGACACAGGAAGCGAACGGTCGCATGGAAGAAGCGAACGGTCGCATGGAAGAAGCGACCGGTCGCCAACGAACCTGCCTGGAAGGAATTCCGAGACACAGAAAGCGACCGGTCGCAAGGAAGTAAGCGACCGGTCGCCTTCCTCGACGAGCGACGATAGTGACAATGCAAGTGAAGCGACCGGTCGCCCTGAGTGCGACGACCGGTCGCCGAGTGAAATATGGAATTTTTTGAGTCTTCATTAGAGGGACGTAGTAGTGATACTAGCAACTCTCATACAGATGAAATTGATACAAGACCCCCCT